CAGTATGACATTAAACACACCTGTCTTGCATTTATTGTGCCATCCCCTGTACTAGGTAGATAGTAGTTAAAAGGGATGTAACAATAACCGAAATATTGTGATATCGTATCGTCAAAGTTCTCACAATAACATCGTGGACCATCACAATATCTCGAATCACAAGTCTCTTTGCTTAAATGAAGAGTTATGGTGCAGCAATAAAAGACAGAGGGAACTACATAGACCATGATCCTTTGCTCCATTTCAGTGCAGACTACATGAAGAAATAACAGTTCTAAGCACTTTTCAGTCTTAGTACATGAAAAGAATTTAGACCCAAATTTAAAAAAATTGCCATTAATTTAATTATTGTATTTGGCAAATTTTATATTCACAAATGTAAATTCTCTCATGCGTCTTTATTTGTTCCTGTTTTAATTAAGCACTTAGAATTATACCTATCTTCTATCTAGTGTAAACAAAGAAAAGCTGTATTGACATATGAAAGTTGTATATCCATGAATATTTTTGTATAATGTAACAGTGGCAGTGATTAAGCTTTTCTTCCACGTATGCCTCCCCCTGGCGTTCTGTTTGTTATGTCACTTGTTTTGTGTCACGTGAAAACAGAGGGAGGACCCAAAACGCAGGACTGCTTCAAAAATATTTAATGACAAATCAAAAAATCCAAAACTCAAGACTAAATTGCCATGACAAGAGACACAGAGACACAGAGACACTCGGACAGAGACAATGGACCAACAAAGGGCAGAGGAGAACACAGGGTATAAATGCACACACATAGACACAGGTGAAACACATTAGGGCGGGGCAAACAATCAAGACAGGAAGTAAAACTCAAAAATACAAGGTGACAGGACAAATGTCAAAATAAAACACAAACTACAACCACTACAAAACATGAACCATGACAGTTTTGTATATTACTATCTGTCATTTATTTTAAAAAAAAAACAACAAAAAACTAACTTTTAAGTCTTAGTTCTTTGGATTAAGTCTTGTCAAGGCGTTTTAAGAGGAAAAAGCAGCATATTAGCCTCCACAAAATATCACAATAAATATCGCTCTGTGAAATGTATATTGTGAAAATATCGTATCGAGAGATTTGGATATTGTTACATCCCTAATCGTGAGTTTTTATCGCAATAAATATCATACGGTGAGGTAAATACCGTGACGATATTGTATCGTGAGACTTGGATATCGTTACACCCCTAGTAGTTAATGCTCTAGTGTGAAACATTATGGAGTCAAACGGCTGCCAAACCCATCACGAAACAAGTAACATAAGTGCGCTTTCAATCCTTATAGTGAAAGCGTAAAAAAAAAAAGAAACATGGACGCTGACAATTGCTTATTTACAAGAACAGCATCTCCACAGAGCGCAGACATAAACCATTAATCACACCATATATATTCCGCCCTCTCGTATCTCCTCCTCGCTACTTCCCTTGTAACAATTGTCAATAGCCTCACGCGCGCTCCACTCCTCAACCCCTCAAACCTACTGTCATGGCCGCCTTCCCCCTGCTTTCACATGGCATTACTGCAGCCCACAGAGCCGCACCGACAGAATGGACCCGCATTGAGCCGGCCCTGTAGGAGTTGTACGTATGCCTTACATTGCACTGCACATGGGTGGTGTTCTCATAGTATATGCATGATATGTGGGCTCAGATAGAGAGATCGAGCTGCCCGGAGCTATGTCCAAATGAAAAAAAAGTCCTATAGAATGGGACCTCTGGGATGTACGGGGCATATGTCATGTTTGGTATTTGATAGCTGAATGCCGGGCGAGCCTACAAGCAGCATGGTCAGATTGAAGTTACTGCCAGCTGGGTTAAGGAAAACAAGATATGCCATGTAAGATTATGGCTGAATGCAGTAAAAGGTGGAGAAAGTTATGTTAAAAAGATGATGTATGAAGCCGGATTACTTGATTGTCAATGTAAAACTTCCTCTGTATGATGCAACTTTACTTTTGTTACTGAAACTGAATGATAAAATAAAAGTAAAATTCAAGTACTTTTGCCTTTTTGGTTAAATACACAACAAAAACTATACTTAAATTACTCTAAATGTCTGAGTAGGATATTATTATTTAGTACAGTAGTGTGTAGTAATGAAATGAAAATGCCAGTGTGCAGGCTACTGTACAAAACTGGAAAATTCTCTTGGAACATGGCGCCATCTAGCGGTGTGTCGACTGCACTACAACACTTTCCCCCCCTCAGACAGAGAATGCTCTTATTGTATACATAGTGCATTCTCTAAATAGCCGACTATAAAAGCTGTCCGCTTGTGTGTGGAGCCAGACACATAAGGGTCAAGCAACGAGCGCCAGCAAATATGTCTCAGTTATTCTTAGACAACACAAATGTGTACGTAAGTTTACTTCTGAAGCAATTGTTACCATCTTAAAATGGAAAGAAATGAAAAGCTCACACTGTAGGCTACTGGAACTTCAGATTTAAAACTATTTATCAGTTTTAATGTTTTTATGTCAAAATAATTCAAAATTTAAAAGGAATTACCTCGTTCAAAAGACTCTTTAATATGTTATAGACATGAACTTATTTGGTGTGTTTGTGTGTTTAATGAACAACAGTGACTTTTTATTGACATTTAAGGAGGTAAGAATCCTACAAAAAAATAAATAAAAGCATAAAATGTTAATAGTTGGTTTGGACAGGGACTTTGGCTCTTGCAAGAATATCTGTCTACAAGAATATTTATAGAAATTATACACGCCTAATTAAGCACAGAGACTGATAAGGTCTTATCATTATCAATGGCATTGACTGATTCCTCTTATCTACTTCCTTAGCGATTGATTAATTGATTCTTAGTAAAAGTATAATGTGCCTTTATGCATCCAGTTTTATTACTTTACATTTGATCTAATTGTGACTATAACATTACAGTGACCAGATTCTCTAAATCAAAAACTGGGACATTCCTGATTTATGGTGGTTGGTAATAATAAAATTGTAAAACGAGTGTGTAATTAAGAAAACTTGTTACGCGGTGATCATGTGAGATCATGTGAGTCAGTATAGTCACATTTTCTTTGTGTTTTGGTCATTTTTTTATCATGCTTTTCTGCATTTTACCTGAACAAATGACAATGTATGCCTCTTTTTACTGCTCAGATTGATCAAAAATAGGAACAGCAGGAACATTTCTTGCACAAAGCTGGGACAAAGCAATGGTTTTGGATAAATCTGATGGGACAGGTGGACACAGGGCTGAAAACTGGGACTGTCCTGGGTAAATAGGGATGTCCGGTCACCTATATAAGTGACACAGGATACAGGCTACATTATAATCTACAATGAAAGTAATTTAGGATATTGTAAAACTGCTTTTAAAGCTACTTGTTAAATATTACATCAGTATTTAAAACAATATTGTACTGTGATAAATTATGGGCAGGGTTGGGGAGTAACAGATTACATGTATTGGAGTTACGTAATCAGAGTCTAAATTATGAGTAACTGTATTCAGTTACAGTTACTGTTTCAGTGAGTGGTAATTGGATTACAGTTACTTTGTTGAAATAAATGGATTACACGGTGGGATTTTCCTGTTTTCACATTTTGGGCTATATCCCCCCCTTTTTTTTTCTCGGTAATTCCACTCATTGCCGGACACTAAACCAGGTCTAAACTAGATCTAAACCAGGACCAAACCAGGTGTAAACTAGATCTAAACTAGATCTAAACCAGGACCAAACCAGGTGTAAACTAGATCTAAACCAGGACCAAACCAGGTGTAAACTAGATCTAAAACAGGACTAAACCAGCACTAAACCAGGACTAAACTAGATCTAAACCAGGACTAAACCATGACTAAACCAGGACTAAAAGAGGACTAAAACAGGACTAAACCAGGTCTAAACTAGATCTAAACCAGGACTAAAACAGGTCTAAACCAGGACTAAACCAGGTCTAAACCAGGACTAAACCAGGACTAAAACAGGACTAAAACAGGACTAAACCAGGTCTAAACTAGATCTAAACCAGGACTAAAACAGGTCTAAACCAGGACTAAACCAGGACTAAAACAGGACTAAACCAGGTCTAAACTAGATCTAAACCAGGACTAAAACAGGTGTAAACCAGGACTAAACCAGGTCTAAACCAGGACTAAACCAGGACTAAAACAGGACTAAACCAGGTCTAAACTAGATCTAAACCAGGACTAAAACAGGTCTAAACCAGGACTAAACCAGGTCTAAACTAGATCTAAACCAGGACTAATCCAGGGCTAAAACAGGTGTAAACTAGATCTAAACCAGGTCTAAACCAGGACTAAAACAGGACTAAACCATGCTGTGTGGACGTGTCTCCTTCTCTTCTATCAAGAATATTTTTAAGACGGTTAAGTAACGTCTGGGCTTTTTATTTTCTTTTAGCAGACGAAACTTGTTATGTGAGGATATCCGAGTCTTAGATTACATTACTCACTTTAAGTAATTTAATGGACTCCGTTACAGACTACATTTTGGGGTATGTAATCTGTAATCTGTAGGGGAGTACATTTTAAAAGTCACCTTCCCAACACTGATTATGGGGCCTGTAAAGGTGAGCTCATTAAGCAAAGTAAACAGGTGAATTGTCTATTTTGTCTACAGGTTCCGTTTGTTTTAGATACACACGTGTTTTTAGACATCACGTGATTTTTTTACCGGTTTCTTGAGCCTCAAACTGTCTGTGGTTTTTCTTGCACGAGTTCACAATAACGAACTTTCACTGTTGTGGTTACAGCTGTTGTTTTCTGACAGCTGCCTCTCCTCTCCGCTCGCACACGCCCAACAAGCCCGCCTCCGATTGGCCCGTTTCTCACATCAACACTGCGCCAGCCAATCAGAACGCCAGACGCTCCCTGGTGCATTGAGGAAGGGGAAAAACATACACAGCTGTCCACAATCTGCACGAGAAGAAAACTATTAATGTGATTATTGTCGTAAATCTAAACGGTGCGTATTAAAACCGTAATCTAGTTCTACTTTTTGTCAGTAAGAGTTGGAATCCTTACGCGGTTCTGAGTGGGATTTAGCGCGAGTTTAGCATCGGGGCTAACGCGTAGGACGCTCGCGTTTTCGCGCTTCGTAACGCGATTTCTACGCGTAAACGCCGATTAAAACACGCGCGCCGCTACTTTGCATCTTCGTGTGCGAGTTGTTGGTTTAATATGAGTCGTGTGCACGGATCGGATAGCGTAAAATGACCTTCTCGCTGGTGCTAGTGGTCCCGTAGCCAAACAGCGAAGTGGCGACGTGTTGTACATTGAGTAGGCAATGGTGCAAGGACGGGGAGCGTCATCAGCAGGTGAACAGCAGTGCATTTCAACGCAACATTACAGGAAATTACCATCTATATTATTTTAAACAGTGTCAGAGTTTAATATGAATGCACGTCGGGTTGTATTCTAAAATAATTGCCTGGATGTGAAAATGCCAATTAAAAGTATGCCGCGTAATTAGGGTTTATCTGAGGTCGGATAAATCTTGAGCGTAGGCCTGATCGTCACTCCTCTGCGTTATTACATGGGGTAAACTAAAGAATGATGATTTAGGTTTGTCGTGAGTGAAAAGGAAACTTAAGATTTTAGGTTTGGTCCAGTGTTAAAAGGTTGACAAGAGCGTTTTAAGGTATTTGGCAACGCTTTCCAAATGGTTACAGGTGCGTGTGACTGCGTCAAATGAGGAATTCTTTCAACAGGACAGGTTAAAAATGTTGCCAGAAATAACATGACAAATTATAATCTAAAACATCCACATTTGGTTTAAAGTATGAGAATAGATTTGCCCTGCAGTACTCAGAATAAGGTTCACTTTGGGTAAGGTAAATACATGAATACATAAGTAAATATAAGAAAAAAAAAATGTTTGTTTTGCGCAATGTAGTTGAAGCAAATTGTAAAAAGTGTCTTTTTTTTATTTTTATGATTGGCTTTTCCAATAAGCCAGTCATGGATCTAATATTTCCCTTTTTCATTTCAGGAATACTTTGGAATAACTATATACTGCATACTGGATAAACAGTAGACATTGCAATGGTAAGAGCTTTTACTGTTTTAATCTATATACTATAAATTAGACTATATCAAATATTATCTTGAACCTCATTAATTCCAAAATGATCCAGTTTGGTGATTAGCATTTCTACCTCACCACAAGGAGATCCCCTGTTTTATTCCAAGACTGACTAAGAGCTCTGTGTGGAGTTTGCGTGTTCTCTCTCTGTCTGTGTGTGAATTTACTCAAGATGTTCCAGTTTATAATATACTACACTGTTATTATCACAACATGCAGGAGTTCACAAATATGAATATTGCTTTATGTATGGTTCAAGTAACTTATTCAATCCCCTCATTGGTGATTTTACTAACGCTTCATTGCAAATATAGTCTTAGTTTTTAGTTTTATTTATTTAAAAGGGACAATATACAGAACATATAGTTGTAAATATGCCGGAATTAACCCCGAAGACTACTTTTCATCTGTAGTCCCAGGCAGGTCAGAGAGACAGAGACAACATAAGACAACGTCAGTGACAATTCACAGGACAAACATGGTAGAAACAGCACAATAAGACACAATCATGACATACAACACTGACATTTACATAGAGGCATATGAATGTGAATGTGAATATTAAAATGACGAATTTTTGATATGTTTTTTAAAGTTAAAGTGGAGTCTAAGGTGACACCAAGATATATATACTGACTGACAACCACTGAGTACATTTATATGGCCAGTAAAAAGCAGATAGACAAATGAGGTAATAAAATAACTCAATGGATCGTAGTTTTTCGTATGCCCTTACATGCAAAAAAGAAAGAAATAACACCTGGTGATGTTTAGTACTGATAAGACAAAGTGCAATGAAGCTTAAAATTACCTTTCAATTTGTTATATTTCATTTTTGTCCTATTTTTGCTTAATTTTCCTTGTCAAAACTTGCACAGGCATGAACAAGCATTAAGAAATCAGATGATTCAACATCAGGTGGAACTGTTTACCTGACATTTCGATCACATTTCAATCATCTGATAACTCTAGAAATCAGATAAAGGTCATATTTAAGTTTCATTTGTTCAGGTTACTCACGTCTCGCTCTGCTTTTTCAGGTGTGACCTACCAAACGTAAACCATGGCCCACTTCCACTCGTATGTATCACAGTACAGAGACAACAAGGAAGCCGAAGAAGATGATGCCAACCAGGCTCCAGACACAACCAAGCCAGACCTCAACAACAAAGACACGAAAACCCAACCGGACTGTTTCCCCTGTCCACACTGCGAGAGACGCTTCACCTGCAAACAGGGCCTGGAACGCCACATGCACATCCACAACAAGAAACCGGCAGTAGGGGGCACTGTTCAACCCGATTCTTCATCTCAAGCTAATATAGAGACTTCAGAGGGGCACCATCCTTGTCACCACTGCTCCAAAGTATTCAACTCACTCACAAACAGGCAAAGACACGAGCGCCGGTTCCATGAAGTACAATCTGAAGCAACACAAGATGAAAATACACCCATTATAATCGACACAGACTCGCAAGAAGTTGAAACTGGGCAAGCTGGACAATACATACTTGACATTTCGAGTAATATTTCAGAGAATTTGAGTTTTTTCATCGACGGGAAGCTCGTCTCTGCGAGTACATTGCAAGAGACCGCAGAGGCTTCAGCTTTAGTCAGCGTGGATGCCTTGATTTTGAATCCTACCCAAGTTGTAAATGATAATAATAACTCTGATCTAACTACTGCAAGGTTTAAAAGACGAACCAGCACTCCCCAGCAAAATGAAGAAACGCCAGACGTAACTGAATGTAATGTAAGTGTTGAACCAATAGAAACTCACAATTACGCGTGCGATGAGCAAGCGGCCGATGAAAAAGCAGAGCCAGTCGAAACTGTGAAGGAGCTGGAAAGCGGTAGTAAGCCTTTAGTGATTGGAGGTCACTCTTGCAATCAGAAACCGCTCGATTTGTCCAATACCGTCAAAAGAAGCGAAGACGTGGCTCTGGCGAACGCCGTGCTGGATTTAAGCGTGCAGAAGAAGACCGCGGAGGACTCTGAACCAGTGATCGCAGTTACTAACGTGAATGAACCGAGTGGCAGTGATAACGCTGACGAACAAAACGCAAACTTGACCCCTCTCGTGACGGACTTCGCCATAGTAACGGGTTCAGATCTGGTAACCCCGGTGGAGCAGATCGCAGACGGGCTCGTGTACGGACTCGCAATCCCCGCAAACAGCCTGACGCCAGCTCCGACATCTCTAGCCCCCGTAACGTTGCAACCCACTTCGCCGTGCGCTATAGCGTTTGCTTCGCCCACTCTGCCCACTACCCCTTCTTTGATAACCGTACTGGCACCGCCGTCGCTCCCAGCCCAAACGAACCAGCCTCTTCAAGTTCTCGCTCCTAATTTAACCCAAGAGCCTTTAGTCATTTGCGCAGACAACAGTTTGAACGCAGATTTAAGCACTGCGAATTCTGCTAATCTAGTCACGCTGACGCAACCAATGGACCCAACGTTGAACATACCAGGACACGTCTTCTTAGCCGATCCAATCTCTCTGAATCCACCTCTAGTCGAGTCCACCCCCGTGGCGCTTAACGATCTCAACTCCTTCAATATCGCGAGCAACACCGTGCTGATAGAATGCACGATATCGCTAGAGGCTACAGGAAGTGTGGTCCCCGCCGCCATAGCGTTACAAGAAAATCAAGTAGAACAACCAACGCAAGTGCTGGTCAATCACATAGAGCAGCAGCAAATTGTTTCAACGCCAAATGTGGATTCTGCGATAGTTATGTCGTCCGTTGAGGAATCGGTGATGATCTCTGCGGCGACAATGACAGAAAGTCCTACAGCAACAGAAACTCGCGATGTTGAGCCTTCGGTTGTTGTTGAGACGGCTGCAACAAAAGATGATCAACAGCAGGATGAAACTATTTCGGAAACGCAAAACGCAACAGAAAGTCAAGAAGAAAAAGTGGAAAAGGAGGAAGATCTGGATGACTCCCAAGAGCAAACCTTCACCAAAAATTTCATCTGCAATGTTTGTGAGAAGCTGTTCCACTCGATGAAGGAGCTGGGGCAGCACGTGGTGGACCACGCCGAGAAATGGTCATACAAATGTGAATTCTGTCTGCTTCTTTTTGAAAAACCGTCCGATCTGCTTGAGCACCGATCAAGCCTCCACGGCGTTGGAAAGACGTATGTTTGCAGCATTTGTACGAAGGAATTTGTCTTTCTGTGTAACCTGAAGCAGCATCAAGAGGAGCTGCATCCAGGTCAACAGTGCACGCATACAGAGGAGGAGAAGGGAAAACTTAGACCGCAAAATTACAACAACTTCTCAAAAGATAATAAACTTAACGCGCAAGAGGAAACCAAAGTCGTCAAGAAGGAAGAAACTGATGTAGCGACGGATGAGCTGTTCACAACTATAAAAATATTGGCTTCTGATAACGGTAAACACAAAGGGCCAGACGTGCGAATGGGCATAAACCAGCACTACCCAAGCTTCAAGCCGCCTCCGTTTCCTTATCACAACCGCTCGCCGGCCGCGTCGCACGCTTCCGCCACCAACTTCACCACTCACAACATCCCCCAGACCTTCAGCACCGCCATACGCTGCACCAAGTGTGGCAAGAGCTTCGATAACATGCCCGAGCTTCACCAACACATATTAGCCTGCGCGAATGCAAGCGACAAGAGGCGGTACACGCCCAAAAAGAACCCCATCCCGTTGAGACACTTCGCCAAGGGGCAGAACGGCGTGCTGTCGACGACCAACGCGGCAAACGGGCTGAACACGGAGAAGCTGAGCGCGGAAGCCAAAATGAAACTGAAAGTGCTCACCAAGAGACAGAAGAAGCTGGCGCAGAAGCAGAAGGCGATGACGTTGACGAGCGCAAGTCCCACTGAGATGTTTGTGTGTCCTCACTGCAAGAGGGAGTTCACGATGCGGAGAAGCAGGACTAAACACATGGCGGTCTGTCCCAAGAAGCCAGCGGAGAAACGCAAAGACGGAATTGCGAATGAAAACGAAAGGCATCAGCTCAAAGCGCACGCAATCGATAAAGCTAAACTTCAAACGTCAATGCATCACAACACCAGACTACAGACGGGAAGTGTGAAAAGACCAGCTGTAGACGGCATTTTCTCCAGTAAAAGAAGTAAACTTATCATTAAAGAAACTCAAGAGGCGTCGCTAGACAATGAACTTCCAATCGTACGCACTTTCAACCCGGCCATGCGTCAGTACGGCCGGGTGCACCACAGCATTAAAGAGCTCCCCATTAAGATCACCATAGTGAAGCCGCAGCAGCCCGAGCAGCAGGGGGAGCGCGCACACATACAGGGACAGGAGGCCACACCCAGCGCAGAACAGACGGCGGCAGTCTGAGCATCGCACACAAACAGGTATTTCAGTGGATAACTCTGCCGTACACTGTGAAATTATTGTAATATTATCGCACTTTTTAATTACTGTACTGAAATTTCAATACTTAAAATGAAAACGTGTTTCATCTGTCAGAATCTTTGCCAGTTTAATTTGTATTCAGTTTTTCTATTTTGTTCCTTAAAGGTACATGGAAATGTTATTGCTTTGTCTAGAACAGGGGCCCGGGGACCATATGCAGCCCTTTTAATCTTTTTAATCTGGCCCACCGAACTTTAATAATAATAATAATAAATTTCAGTGTTTTAAAAGTAATTTCAATAAAGAGTAAATACTGTGGGACTTGAAAGACATATATTTCGTTGTAATGCTTTTCAATCATAAAAGATATTTCAATAACATGGGACATGTTTTCTCCATCCATCTGCTTCTGGTCGAGGCCCTTCCATCAAAATTGGGCCATGAGTCAAAAAGTTTGCCCCCCCCTTGGTCTAGAATGTCCCACAGTATGGCATTAAACTTAACTATTTCCCTGAAGACAAGCCCACGATACCTCTTCACAGATCTGACCAGAGACTTAGACTTAACCTTAGACTCGGACAAACTTTATTGATCCACAGTGGAAATTATTTGGACACAGTAGCTCACACATCACAATATATTACAATAACAAAGAGCAAAAAATATATAAATGGTAATAATAAATTCTAAATAAGTAGCAAAAAAGATAGCAAGAGACAGGTGTCAAATAAGACATAATTATATAAATGTAAATATACGGTTAAAAATAAAAAAAATAGATAAGTAATAAATTGTATTGTTGTACATCTGGCAAATCTCTAACATCTTTAGGGAGACAAGCTGGTGGACACTACCTTGTATAATGTGAAAGGTTTTTTATTTATGTAGTTTACATTTTAAAGGTCCTATATTGCACAAAATTGACTGGTATGAGCTTTAAGGCATGTTATAATACTGTTACTTCCTCACTTCGTGTATCACCACATGACATTACAAGGTGAAACAGTGATTGAAACAGTGTTTTAAGGAAGAACTCAGCCTGTGTGTTAAATATGTGCAAATTAAGCAAAACGTAACTCCGGGTCTGTTTTTGATGAGGAAACAACATTATAACAGACCAGAAAATAGTGAATATTAGGGGTATAACGATATCCAAGTTTCACGTAATGATATCGTCACGGTATGAACCTCACAGTACGATATTTATTGCGATATTTTGCGATTATTTTTATCTAACAAAACTGTAAATATGCTACTTTTTTCCTCTTAAAACGCCTTGACAAGACTTAATCCAAAGAACTAAGACTTAAAAGTGCTTAGAACTGTTATTTCTTCTTGTAGTCTGCACTGAAATGGAGCAAAGGATCATGGTCTATGTAGTTCCCTCAGTCTTTTTTAGCTCTTGCTGCACCATAACTCTTAATTTAAGCAAAGACACTTGTAATTCGATATATTGTGATGGATTGTGAGAACTCTGACGATACGATATCACGATATTTCGGTTATTGTTACATCCCTACATAATATTCAATAAAAACTGCTTTTATTCCAACTCATTTTCCAACTCAACAAGACCTATAAAAACATGATGGTGTAATAATCTTCTGTAACAGCGTTTGGAAACAGATCATGCAAATCACCGAGGCTTGGACTATGATTAGCAATTATTTATTCAGCGCACGTTTTGCTTTCTCCAATCGGAAACGCTCTCATTGCCATTTCTTTTATCTCTTGCAGGCCTCTTCTGTACGGAGCTGCTAATTAGCCCGGCTTCTGCGGCGGCTCGGGGGGGGGGAGTTGGTGAACTTTTATCGAACGCCTTTAGCTGTAAATTGAAGGAGGACGCTGGCGAAGGCGGGCGCAGTCACTGGATTTTCAGATTCCACTTTTACAGTCCCCTTTTCATTTGCGCTCGAGCCTGGATTTGCACTTTGAAGTTAATCAGAGCCCTCCACGGCGCTGGATGGAGAGAGAGGTACTGGGTATAAGGAACTCTCTGGTAATTTTTTTTTTTTTTGGGGGGGGGGGAGGTACCACGCAATCATTGGAAGCATGAATTTGCACTTTTTTTCCTTTTTCTATGTGTTTCGTGGCCTTTTTCGGTTCAGCTCAAGCATGCTTATGGAGTTATGAAGTTTATTTTGTGACAGTGATCCTTAATGAGATTTGGCCTTAAAGGTGAACTGTGTAACTTTTCTGGTGGAGGGTCCGCTACCTGCTTGTTTCCATGTAAATGTTAACGTTTTTTCTTGGAATCTTCCACAGTATGCCATTTAATTTAACTGTCTCCATGACACAACCAAGTTACAAGTCAGATTTGTGGAGAGGAGGACCCGTTCTCAGTAATAATCCAAGTTTTTAAATGGTCACTGCAAAAAAACTTGGCCAAAATTGAAGATGTAAACACTTAAATCTATCAGAAAATGACTCAAAAGTAGTGAAATTATCCGTCCATGCATCAAGATTGACAATTTATCTTAAAATAAACGACCTCTAGACTAGATTTAAACCGTCTCAGAACTAGAAAGTAGATAATAAATCAAAAAAAAATAAAAGAATAACCTTATAAAAGCTTTAAAATCTTGACCAAATCAGAGAAATTTGCAGTGTTTTGAGAAATAAAACCACCTGTAATTGAATAAATACAATGTCTATTTGTTTAATGCCATACCGTGGAACATTTTGGGCAAAGCAAAAACATCTCCATGGAGACAAGCTGATAGCAGACCCTCCTTCAGAAAAGTTGCGCAGTGCACCTTTAAACAACGCTGGTTTAGTTTAGTTGAGTCATAAACACAAACTAAGGTCCTGGCTGTTTGTGCGTTCATATTTGTACACTTTTGGTTTCTGTTAGAGTTTCTGAGATTTTCTGAAATGACGATTTTCCGAAGAGTAGTGCAAATGTCAAGTAAGAGTAATATATAACTTTTTACTGATATTACTCAAGTATAAGTACAAAGCAGTGGTTCAAGAAATTACTCAAGTAAGAGTAAAAAGTACAGCTGCAAGAAACTGCTTCTCAAATAAGAGTAATTTTATGAGGAGCTGTGAGGAAGTTTGAAAAAAAAAGTGGTGTTTTTAATTCGAAATCTGTGTAATTCGAAGAGCAAAACACGCACAATAGTATTTTCAGCAGAAAGAGAAAAAACAAAGTGATATTTGAAGGAGTAATGCACTTAAAAAAACACTTTTGTCGAAGAGTAACCAAAACATAAACTCAAGTTACTCAAATAGGACTAAAACTGAGACGAACAATTTAGCAAAAACCTACTCAAGTAAAAGTAACTGAATACTACCTGTTTCTGATAGTAACAACAATGATTGGCTTTGTGTATTACTGTGTAGTCTGTCATTTTGAATTTGGCAACATCATTTTTAAATATATATAAATATTTACTTGTACAAGATACTAAAGAAGCCCGTATTATGCTTTTTTCAAATTTATTTTATGTTGTTTTGTCATCACAAACAAACCTGGATTTGTGTTTTGTTTCATTCACACAAAAACTCTGGATATTTAGGCTGAGTTCTTTTCTCAAATGGAAAACATACAAGAAATGCTCCACTGTGTTTTTGTCTCTACACCTTCACTTAAATCAGGCATGTCCAAACTATGGCCCGTTTTTGAAAATCTACCTTGATAAAGCAAAAGTTTAATATTTCGTGTGTGGTTTTGAGGATCTTGGCATGAATAAAGACAATTATTCAGTGTGTTCAGCACCGGTCTACGGCCCTCGATCGGCCCTGTGCTCGTCTGTGTTTAGATATGTGGCCCTTGATGAAAAAATTGTGGACATCCCTGACTTAAATCAGTTGGATTTCAGACAATTTGTACGGAATTAAAGAGAAAAGGAGCTGTTACCATTACTTGACATCACAAGGTAAAACAGAACATTTTGAGCTTTGGAGATATAGACAGACTAATAACTAATAAAGTGTTACTCAAACATGTGAATGAAACAAAACAAAACTCCAGGTCTGTTTTTGAAAACATTATAACACGTCTTAAAGCTCACAAGAGTCAATTTTGTGTCATATCGGACTTTTAAACTTTTACTCGAAAGTCATAACTCACTCACAGATTTGCTCAGATGACCGAAAGTAGCTCTAAAATAACATTACTAAACAAAATCAAAAGTGAAAATATGTGTACAAATAGCTGGATCGTAGAAAAACAAAAGGACATAGAGAACAACAGTTTACTGCACTCTCATTTACTACAAAAATATAACAGTTAAAATGAAACTGAATGTAATATTTGACTGAAATCCTGTTGCAGCCTTTGGTTATAAAAAGTCTGTATTTGTATAAAAGGCTTTAAAATTGAAAATGCTTAAAATGTGCCAGTATATAACAAGCAACTAACTTAAGTGTAACTGCTAACGTCTCCTTACCTTCATGTTTCCTCATGTCTAAATTAGGGGTGAGCGATGTGGACAAAAAGTTATATATTTGTATTTATTTATGCTTTGACCGTCCCAATTAAGTCATGAGTTTGTTAAAGGAAGTGATAAAATTAAACACAAAATGGTAATAAATATCTAGTCCGACTTTAGACCCTGTTTAGTTCTGGTTTAGTTTCCATTTAGTCCTGGTTTAGTCTTGGTTTAGTCCCTGTTTTGTCCTGGTGTAGTTCTGATTTAGTTACTGTTTAGGCCTGGTTTAGTCCTTTTAGTCCTGGTTTAGTCTTGGTTTAGTCCCATTTTAGTTCTGGTTTAGTCCCCTTTTAGTCCTGTTTAGTCCCGGTTTAGTCCTGGTTTAGTCTTGGTTTAGTCCCTGTTTTTTGTCCTGGTTTAGTCCTGGTTTTAGTCCTGGTTTAGTCCCTGTTTTTTGTCCTGGGTTTAGTCCTGGTTTAGTCCTGTTTTGTCCCTGTTTAGTCCTGGTTTAGCCCCTGTTTTTTATTAGTCCCTTTAGTCCTGGTTTAGTCTGGTTTAGTCCTGGTTTAGTCCTGTTTTCCTGGTTTAGTCCTTATTTGTCCTGGTTTAATCCTGGTTTAGTCTGGTTTAGTCCCATTTTTCCTGGTTTTGTCCTGGTTTAGTCCCTTTATTCTGGTTTAGTTCCTGTTTACACCTGTTTTTGTCCTGGTTTAGTCCTGGTTAGTCCCTGTTTTGTCCTGGTTTAGTCCTGGTTTATCCTGGTTTAGTCCTGGTTTAGCCCCTGTTTATTCCCTATTTAGTCCCTGTTAGTCCTGGTTTAGTCTTGGTTTAGTTCTGGTTTAGTCCCTATTTTGTCCTGGTTTACACCCTGTTTTGTCCTGGTTTAGTCTGGTTTAGTCCCTGTTTTGTCCTGGTTTAAACCCTGTTTTGTCCTGGTTTAATCCTGGTTTAGTCCTGGTTTAGTCCCTATTTTGTCCTGGTTTAATCCTGGTTTAGTCCCGGTTTAGTCTTGGTTTATTCTTGGTTTAGTCCTGGTTTACACCCTGTTTTGTCCTGGTTTAGTCCTGGTTTAGTCCTGGTTTAGTCCCTATTTTGTCCTGGTTTACACCCTGGTTTGTCCTGGTTTAGTCCTGGTTTAGTCCTGGTTTAGTCCTGGTTTAGCCCCTGTTTATTCCCTATTTAGTCCCTGTTTTGTCCTGGTTTAGTCCTGGTTTAGCCCCTGTTTATTCCCTATTTAGTCCCTGTTCAGTCCTGGTTTAGTCCTAGTCTATGTTCAATTACAGGTGTTTTAAAGCGCAAAAATATCTAGAAAAACATGAATTCTTACCATGTGCAGGCTCGCTTCTCCGTAGATCTGACCATTAACTTATCTCCGTCGAGATAACCAATTTTATTTTCATTCTGGAAAAGGAATATAGTTATTTAAGAGGGATTTGTTAAACAGTAAAAATCATCTCACCGCTCTTTTTGATCAGATAACAAAACTCAGATTTTGTCTGTTTTGAGCATCAGAGCTTCAGACAGAGCAGTGCCTACAGTTAGCGTCACACCCCCAGGGAATATTCATGACGTCAGCTGCAAAATATCAACAGAAAAAGTACTTCCAGAACAAAATACCGGGCGGTCATTGCATTAAATAATCAGAAAATGTTTTTGTTTTCATTAAATCTAGCTCCCCCTGTGGCCGTGTCTGGTATAACAACTATTAACTATTAACTTAAAACTACAGACCGACGTTTAGTCAAAGCATCCAGAAAAAACTGACTTAACTTTAAAGATGCACTGTGGGACTTTTAAGGTGGAGGGTCTGCTACTTTCCTGTGGAGATATTATGTCTTTGCACGGAATGTTCCTCAGTAGGGCATTAAACATTTAGTGCCTCTTTTGTCCTGGTTTAGTCCCTGTTTAGTTCTGGTTTAGTCCTGGCTTAGTACTGGTGTAGTCCCTGTTTAGTCCTGGTTCAGTACTGGTTTAGTCCTGGTTTAGTCCTAGTTTAGTCCCCCTTTTAGTCCATGTTTAATCCCAGTTTAGTCCCTGTTTAGTCCTGGTTTAGTCCTGTTTAGTCCCTGTTTAGTCCTGGTTTAATCCCTGTTTAGTTCTGGTATAGACCTGGTTTAGTACTGGTTTAGTCCCTGTTTAGTCCCTGTTTAATCCTGGTTTAGTTCTGGTTTAGTCCTAGTTTAGTCCCCCTTTTAGTCCATGTTTAATCCCAGTTTAGTCCCTGTTTAGTCCTGTTTAGTCCTGGTTTTAATCCTGTTTAGTTCTGGTTTAGTCCTGGTTTAGTCCTGGTTTAATCCTGGTTTAGTCCCTGTTCAGTCCTCGTTTAGTCTTGGTTTAGTCCCCATTTAGTCCCTGGTTAGTCCTTGTTTAGTTCCAGTTTAGTCCAGTTTATCTGGTTAGTCTGTTAATCCGGTTTAGTCCCTGTTTAGTCCCTGGTTTAGTCCCTTTAGTCCCTGTTTAGTCCTGGTTTAATCTCTGTTTAGTTCTGGTATAGACCTGGTTTAGTACTGGTTTAGTCCTGTTTAATCCTGGTTTAGTTCTGGTTTAGTCCTAGTTTAGTCCCCTTTTAGTCCATGTTTAATCCCAGTTTAGTCCCTGTTTAGTCCTGTTTAGTCCCTGGTTTAATCGTTTAGTTCTGGTTTAGTCCTGGTTTTAGTCCTGTTTATCCTGGTTTAGTCCCTGTTCAGTGCTGGTTTAGTCCTGGTTTTAGTCCTAGTCTATGTCCAATTACAGATGTTTTAAAACTCAAAAATCCCTTGAAAAACACGAAGTCTTACCACGTGCAGGCTCGCTTCTCCATAGATCTGACCATGAACTTATCTCCATTGTGATAACCAACTTTATTTTATTATTTTTATTCTGGAAAAGCAATAATTAAAAGCAAAGCAAAGCAGGTGAGGGACCCTCCACCGGAAAAGTTACACAGTGCGTCTTTAAAACAACAATTTAACTTAATATTACGTGATGTATTGTTTTACGAGCACTTGCTTTTGTCCGTTTTTTTGTCAAATTATTGTGCGATGTGTAAAACTAACTCAATATCCCATCTGTAAATGGACTTCAAATACTGGAATTTATTTAGTTTTTAGTTTTTAGTCAGTAGTTTTTCTCTTTTCTTGTTTTATTTTGTTAAAGGGTCCATATTACGCTATTTTCTGATCTTTGTTACAACGTTGTTTCCTCGGACCCGGAGTTGTGTTTTGTTTTATTCACACGTTTTTGAGCTTCTTCTCGAGGTCTTCTCTCAAACAGGAAACACCTTGTGATGTCATGAGGTAAATGGTAAATTAGGGGTGAGCCATGTTGATAAAAATTAATATATTTTTATTTATTTATGCTTTGACCGTCCCAATGACGTCGTAAGTTACAGGGAGTGATAAAAATTAAAGACAAAAATGCTAAAATATCTTTCATTTTACCTAGTCCCTCTTTAGACCCTATTTAGTCCTGGTTTAGTCCTGGTCTAGTCCCTGTTTAGTTCAACTTTAGGTTCAGTTTAGTCCTGTTAGTCCCTGTTTCATCCTGGTTTACTCTTGATTTAGTCCCCATTTAGTCCCAGTTTAGTCCTGGTTCAGTCCTGGTTTTGTCTTGGTTTCATCCCTGTTTAGTACTGGTTTAGTCCCTCTTTAGTTCCCGTTTAGTCCTGGTTTAGTCTTGGTTTAATCCCTGTTTCGTCCTGGTTTAGTCCTGGTTTTGGTCCCTGTTTAGTCCTGGTTTAGTCTTGGTTTAGTCTTGGTTTAATTCCTGTTAAATCCTGGTTTAGTCCGTGTTTAGTCCGGTTTAGTCCCTAGTTTTAGTCCCTGGTTTTAGTCCCGGTTTAGTCCAGTTTAGTCCTCCGGTTTAAGTCCGGTTTAGTCCCTGTTTAGTCCCGGTTTAGTCCCGGTTTAGTGTTTAGTCCTTGTTTAGTCTTGGTTTTAAGTTTAGTCCCAGTTTAGTTTAGTCCCGGTTTAGTCCCGGTTTAGTCCCAGTTTAGTCCCTGTTTAGTCCCTGTTTTTTCCTCATTTAGCCTTGGTTTATTTCCCATTTAGCCCTGGTTTAGTTTCCCTTTAATCCCTAATTAGTTCTGTCATGGAAAAAGAAAATGTCATTTTCCAGGCCTGGAAAATTCATGGAAAAGTGTTGAATTTTTGTCAGTGAAAAAGAGTGGGAACTTTGTTGTTTTTTTTTACTCCTCACACCTTCACTTGAATCATTTGTATAATTTCAGCTCTGAAATAGCAAATCTCCACTGAACAAAAGGTGAAAAATGTGGCTGTTAACTTGAAAACTCCCACTTCATGACATCACAGGGTGGAACAGACGTGTGAATGAAACAAAACACAACTCCAGGTCTGTTTTTGATCAGGTAACAACTCAATAACACAGATTAGACTAAATTTTGTGTAATTTTGGACTTTTAATTCACACAGCAACTTAAAATGAAGATGTAAACAGGGTAGCTGAAATACAAACCGTGCTTCTGTTCTGTGCTTTTTTTCATTTTCGCTCTTTACGACGAGAGAGTTTTGTTCAAATTGTTGTTGATTTTTGCCTTTCGTACCACAGTGGATGTACAGGGCGGTTGGAGAGACGTATTTAACTGTGAAAAGTGCTTGTAGCATTGAAAGTGTATATTTATTATCCAGACTAATTTAAAATCGTGTACGTAACGAAATCTCAGATCTGTTCCTCTGTATGATTTGCACTAAAGTTTTTTCAAGCGAGCGTTAAATAAATGGAGAATGTTAATGCTGTAAATGAAAAAGATCTGGTCTGTTGTAATTCTTGTTCTGGTGTTTTTGTGAGCTGTGTAATTCCACAAACGGACAGTAGGTGGCACACTTCCCACACCTAAAAACACACAGATTTGAAGAGATCACTGAGAAAATTCACATTCATTATTTATTTATTTATTTATTTTTTATTAAAGTTGCTCTATGTAATCTTTTTTGTAGAGCCTGTCGTCATGCAGAGGTGTCAAACTCAAATTCACAAATGACCAAAATTAAAAACTGGGCCAAACTAAATATTTATTGAAAAATTTCAGCAACGTCTGCATGTTTCTCTTCTTTCGAGGTACGAAATGTTAAACCTTTTCTTATTAAAATAAATGTTTAATAATAGTTTTGCTTAAACATTGAATCCAGAACAAGCAAAATATAAAATAATAACACAATTTTAAATAAATAACGTCTCTATAGTCGATCTGTAGCTGGTGGGCGGCTCTAATAAATACCGTATTTTCTGCACTATAGGACGCACTTTAAAAGCCTTTAATTTCATAAAAAAACGACTGCGTGCCTTATAATCCAGAGCGCCTTTTATATGAATTTATTGGGGTGTCTTAGTACGACTTTAGTAA